CCCCTCCCTTCCATAGCCTATCTTGACCAAATATCGTTCCTCTCCCTATGCGCGTATGCAGAAACAAAGTCAGAATTAAACTTCTGCGGTTGAGTTTGTCCTGGTGCTGCTGTATTCCAAGACCCTGAACAAGCTTTCTGGAGTGCTTGAGTAATGGATGCTAGTAATAAGACCCAAAAGTAGATACTCAAATAATGCTGTTTCTAGAGGTATGTGTAATGACAGGACAGTCACTTTGAGCCTAGGCTCATGCTATTGCTGTGGCTGACTTGGGAATCCAAGCTCTTTGGTTCTTAGGGTGCTAACTGAATGTGGTCTTAGCAATATAACCCGTTGCGGGGGGGGAGGGGGAGCGGAGAATGTGGTTTGGGCCAAATTCAGATCATAGGTGTGAAATCTAGCCACAAAGGCTTAAATGAAACTTTTACCTAGCTTGCAGTGTTCCCATTAGCCATGTTTAGAACAGCTTTATGAGGGGCCATTCCCAGAAAGATGATGAATGTTACGTACAAGCTGCTTTGTGATTGGAATGATCCCACCTGCCTTCACATGAGAAATACTGTGATAGGATTCAGGCCCATTGAGGATCCACCAAGAAACACTGGGGATCAGCACCTCAGCCACATGCAGAGTGAGACAAGACACAGTTAATGATGTATCTTTCTGTTGATGCTTGTAACCTTTATTTGGTCAGTGCTAGAAAGCATATACAATGAATTCCCTTTCCTCCCTCTGGTTATCTTGAAACTTGTGGAGTGTTATGGTTTTTCTCATTTCTTTTCATGTGAATTTTGCTTACACGAGGGATTTGTGGCAGCTCCCTTGACTGAATAATCTATACCAGCAAAAGGACTCTCTTGTTACTGAAACCCTGTCTATAGGACTCATATTGGCCTTTCAGTGTTGAGCGAGCTTTTTTTCCTGCTAATCTGTTATAATTTCTTAGTGCAGAGGGAAAAACTCTAGTGAAAAACTAGTTTTCTTTCTACCAAGTTCATACTTTCTCCATCTTGTGTGAGTAAGATCCAGCCTTGTGGGTACCAGAGTACCAATAAAACATAGGCTTTTGACTTTAGGAAAATACAAGAAATTTTAATGCAACAGACAGGAGAGAGGTCCAGCATAGATGTCTAATGTGTTAGTTTTATTTAAAGATGGTCTCTTGGTGCTAGAGTAAGAAATGTTCTTTAAAAAACATCAAATAAATAAATAAATAAATAAATAAAAATAGGAATCACTTTCTGTTGAAGAGCTTAGAAAGCATCCGGCTTTCATCTTGGGAGGAACAGGTACTGTAAAGCATTCTTCAGAGTAGGGTATAGGGAGGCTGTTCTAATTCTTCCTGGAACCTGCAAGCCAAACACGAAATAAAAGTTACTAGAATCAGTTTGTTACTAGAATCTGTTTCTCTCTCAGTGTATACCACCATTGTCAGCAGAGCTTTTACCTACCAAATCAATAGATACAGGGTTTCTTTTTAAAAAACAATACTAGCTTAAATATTAGGCTAAAATTATTTCCTTTCTCCAACTGCCTCTTATTAAAGACTTAAATGAGAACCTGCTTCTCTCTTGTCACATGACACAGATGCAGTCTGTTCTATTCAGTAAAATGAATTAGGCAGGACTCACCGTTGCAACCCATTCCACTCAGGGAGCCGATTCTATCAATTCTCCTCCCAAAGCAGCCAGAATTTCTCATCATCCTGGGCATCTGGAGCCCCCTCAGTCTCTTGAGAAAGGGGTCCTTGTAGGACAGAGGGGTGCTGGGTGCTAGCCTGGGTTCAGCCTTCTGGTCATCACTGTCGTCTGTGAGTTCCGGTGGGATCTCCTCCTGGGTTTTGGGTTCTTGCAGGTCAGAATTGGACTCCAGGGCTTCAATCATTGCAAACTTATCCTCCAGTTTCTCCAGCAGAGCCTACAAGAGAAGGATTCATTTTGTGAAACTCCTAGTTTTGTGGTCATTGGCTAGCTCTTCCAGTCACCCAAGTCTGCATTCATCAGTGGTCCCATAGCCAGCCCTAGGGAGACTGTCAGGTTGGACCCCAGCATTGCTGGTGGTACTTGAGCTCCATCCTCTGCAGTAAGTCCCTGTTCACATTAATTCCACCTATGGGTAACTCTAGCTGAGAGCTTATTGAAGCTGCTTGCCACCAAAGTGTGTCTTACTGGCAAGGTTAGAAGAGCTCTTGGCAGAGGAAAAAAAAAGCAAGGTCTGAGTTGCATGGGGAGATGCTACTCTGAAACCATAGTCCACTCCCATGTTCTCAGGAGCTGCCTGCAATGCTGCTTGCCAGCAGTTAGCTTTCTCTTATTTTCCTTTGGCTAAGACCATCTGCTTGCTCGTCACCCCTGGCTATTTCAGTGGTCATCACTTGCAGAAGCTCTTGGTGTTTTCACTAATCTCTGCCCCAGGAGTTACAGGATTGCTGCTCCTTAAAAAAACTCCCTGAAAATACCTGTATGCTAAGTTTATGTCTGCTCTGTGACTTCTCCCTGTGTACCATTCTCTATAATTTTAAAGCTTTGTGTAACAAGGATCAGATAACCTCCTCAAGGGCAGCTCAACCAATTAGAGGAATCTAATTGTCTATCTCTAGAAGTAGAGTAGAGAGGAGTGAGCCTTATGGCTTGCTTGACTGTGAATACATTTGGAAGCCACTCTTCTCGGCTAGCTGCTGGAAACAGCTTAGCGGCAGTTTTAGCTTTGGCTGACACTGTCCTAATCATCTTAGGGAGTTTGTTCTCAGGGTCTGATGCTGTGAGAAGCTGATGACTAGTACCAGTCCAAGGAAAGGTTTGAGCTTTCAGACTTCATCTTGCAAGACTGAGTCTTAAGCTTGTATTGTGCTACAACAATGGAAGTTCTCTAGAATTCTAAATTTGCACCTGGTAATTTCATAGCTCTAGAAGCTTTTCTAGATGAGTCACATTAAATGATCAGACTAGCCCTCTAGCAACTTTTCTAAAAGTTTCACTTCGGGTGCTCCACTTTACCTTCTCATTTCCCATCCATATGCAGCCAGTTCTCTTAAATCCACAAAGCTAGAGCCATATGGCTGTCATGCTTCACTGTTCCTGTGATTTAGTGGGATAAACAGGAGCCAAAACCCAAAGAACCAAAAACCCAAAGCAGACATCTCGCAACATCAGAATTTTGTTCCCCACTGCTACCCAGGAGCTCAAGTCAACCCAGCACTGGAGGATATTCTCTATAGAGCTTCTTTGAACCCCTATGAAGAACTGAGACTTTGTCCCCTGGCATGTGATCGCGGCTATCTGATCGTGCAAAAGAGAAGCAAAACCACCACCTCACACTCTGCTAAGCACCCCAAAAGTTTAACCTTGCAAAAGGAGAGGGTCCTCACCTCCATGCTGGCCAGTTCTTTGGCAGGGCTGAGGTTGTAGATAGGGCTGGCTCTGCTGGACTGGAATTGGATGAGCAGCAGCAAGAGGAAGCCACGGGAAAATGAGCCTTTAGCGTCCATGGTGCTGGGTTCGTTGGAAATAGGGAAGTTCAAGCTGTTTCTTCTGAGATGTCTCTTCAGATCTCTCTCTTCCTTGCCCTATCCTCTCTCTTCCGAAGCTTGTCTTTTATACTCTTTGGGTGTGATCTCTGCTTCCTAGGTTATCAGTGGATTTATCTGGGGCACATTCCAGTCCCACTGCAGGCATGCAGCTCTGTCAAGGGAAGATTCCCTTTATTAGCTGTCATTAGGCAGCAGCTGCTGTTGCTGAGGAATGTATGTCACAAGTCAGTGATTTCATGTCACTCCCCCTCCTCTTGATACCAGGCGCTATGATTACATAGTCCAGTTGGAAATTCTTAGCAATTTTCTTTCAAGAGACCCCTATGGTCAGATTTACGGAGATGGGAAACAACCCTGAAATTGCTCTAAACTCTGTTCAGTTAGAAGCTTTCCATAGGGAAATTACCTTTTACAGGGAAAACAATAGGCTTTTCAGATGAGTATTTGGTGGAGAGTAAAGGCTGAAGATAAATCTACTTTTAGGACACCAAAAGTATCATGCACGCTTTCCTTCTATATATGGAATATGCACAGCCACCGCATACCATGGAGTGTGCTGAAAATCCCAGGTTTGGGCCACTTCTCTTTTCCCATTGCTGTCGAGGTGATCTCATCGTTGAGATTTTGTATTTGTATGTTGCCAACAACAGAGGCTCCCTGATCTGCACCTCAATACAGACGATAACTTCTAGACTGACTCTGCCGGGACACCGAGTACCTCCAGCCCCCGCCGACAACTGACTTCGGCACCGTTGAAAAACACTAGTCTTTATTAACAGCTAAACAGTTAAATCGATGGGATTTCTTTAGACATCGATGGTAAGGCTCGACCCTACATCAATAAAATTTAAAGGAGACAGTCAGATTCAGGAATAATCTTCTTGTACTGTCATACAAGAAAGCAACTTGCTCAATGAGAACTTTAGATAGGTGGCTTTCAGTGTTATTCAGCAAAGGTATCGGAATCTGGCCCCAAGGAAGCAAGAATGAATTTGTGTATATGTGTGGTTTGGGAGGGGTTAAAATGAAATGTTTAATATATTAAAACCAAAAAGTATTTATCTGTTTCTTTGAGAGCTGAAGTTTTTATTATTATCTAAAAACTGCCTATGTTTAAATGAGAAATTACAAAAATGCAGATTTGCTGCAAATTCCTCTTCCAGCATTGTCTTTGTGTGCATAGTGCAACTAAAAATTAATCTTTATTACAGAACTACAGGAGAGTTCTAAATCATGAAGCATATTGCTTATCCTGCATTTTTCTGATGTTTCTTGTTATTCTAAATTGAAACAAGAATGGTTATATGAACAAGTTGATTATGTCAGTCTGGTCATAATTTGTTGTCTTTTAATATGAATATAGATCTTGAAAGAATATCCTGAGTACCATTTTTAAATAATAATAGAACGATAAAATATTTCTCATGTCTTAAATGTCTTAACATGGTGTTTGTGTACAAACGTGCACGCACCATTCACATGATCAGCTACCGAAATTACGGGAGAAAGGACATTCTCAAGGTTGTGAAGTCAAACTCAAATGCTACTTTTTCTTAATATAGCCCAAAGTCAGCCCAATTCTGCATGTGTTCTGACAGAACCCTTTATTATGAGCACCCCCTGTTTTTTCCTCAGTGCTTTCTTTTTTGAGTACGTGGAGGCAATATTTGTTTTTTCTATTATTGTGTGTCCCAACACATTCTTATTTTGTGCTATTAAAAAAGAACTAAGATCCCCATAGGGTTTTTTTTTTTAATTAACGCTCCATACTGCAGTGTCTATATAATTCACTAATTAGTTACAAGTATTCTCTCACTGCTGCTCTCAGGTATGTACGTGTTTCTTTGCACCAGGGCTTAACTTTGTTTTGTAAACTGAGAAAGTGTGAGAAGATAAACCAGAATTATTCATTAATGTTGAGTGTCCAATGTAAGATGACTAGGATCTGTTATTGTTTTATTTTTTTTAATCTTACCTTTCACTCCCCCCTCCCACCTGTTAAATATTCTCTATTGCTTTCTCTGTGCAAAAACATGCTGTCACTTGATCGGAGTTTTGCCGGAGAGCTCAGCACATCTATAAAGCAACCTCTGGGGCACAAACCCAGCAGCAAGAAACCGGGGAACACGTTACCAGTCACAAGTGTGAAATACTTAGCTTTGCGTGACCTGTGCCTGTGAAACAACCTCATATTCCAGGATTGTATTCAATAGCCTGTACCCAGAGATTACTCCTTTCTCTTACTGGTTTCTTCCTTTTCCATCTTCTGAATTCCACAGCAGACAAATGAGATGTAGGGACCTGACTTCAGCCTTGACGACACTTTTCTAAGACAGGGAGATTTCTGTGCACTATTTCATGTACTATGTATGGAAGCATGTAGATGGGATAAAATGGCTGACTGTCACAGTAGCTATTGTATTTTCAAAGCCAAATTCTGCCCTCTGTTATTCATCTCACAGTCCTGCCCAAGCAAATGGAGTGTAAAATGTCAGAACTCAGCTCATAGTTGTTGAAGCTATAAAGCTCCCTTGTTTGTTTGCTTGTGGTATCTCAGTATCGTCACCGTGGCAAGATTAAAATGAACTTTAGGCTTTATAGCCCAGCAATGGATGGTCAAGATCCAGGCATTGCCATGTTCAGCTGGCCATTTGCCTAGTAAAACTCCTGCTGGGAGTCTTAGCAGGGCAGCAAGTTCTTATGAAAAGCATAATATGACCAGTTTTAGGGTTGGGAAATTGGCACATTTCCCCAGCATCCCAGGGTATGGAGTAGAGGGTGTGGGAACATGAGTGTCCATTAGACAGCAGCGCTGGTTGCTCAGAGCAGAGAGGGAGAGCACCAAGGGTGCTGCTGGCAGCCCTGTGTGTGGATCCCTGTGAGGAGGAGGAAGGTACGTGGACAGAGCTGTGCCGAGGGTGACGCTGCCCCTTCCCCAACAGGATGTTGAGATGTCCTTGGTTTTCAGCCCTGCAAGGCTAAGGGCTGTAAGCTTAGGGGTGGGTATCATGTGGATTCCTTCTGCTGATAGATCTGTCCTAACCAGTGCCCCTACCTGCTGCACATCCTTCCAGTGATGGCCATTCTCCTGTGGCCATTTTGCAGCCAAAGAGTGCTAGAGCGTGAACTGACTGTAAAGACCCTTTGTAGTCCTGTTCTGAGGAGGAGGCTGGATATGGATTCCTTTCGTGGCCCAAGAACTAAACCTTTTGGCAAGACTATGCAAGGAAGTGCAGAGGCCACCAGTGCAGGAAACAAAAGGGAGATGTAATAATGTCCGGTGCAGGGTGTGCAGCACCAAGATCATAGGACAGGCCATGCTGCAATTAAGATAGTTAAGTGGTGCCTCACTTTTTCCAAGGGGGAGGAAACTTATTTTCATCCCAAACATAGATTGTTTCTCCTGCTGATTGGAATATATTATCTCTGTGATGTGGCTGTCCCTTCCTTCGCTGGACTCTCCAGGCTCCATGCAGGCAGCAGGGGCTCTGCCTCCCCCGGTTCCTTTAGAGCAGGGTGTTCGGCGATGCCTGGAGCCTGTCTGTCTGCTTAGGATTCCCTGTGCTTTGCAGCCTTGTCTTGAGGGGCTGGAGAGGGCTTTGCACAAAACCCTGGGCAGAAGAGCGAGGGGGGCTTCTCTGAAGCCGAGTGACATGAGCTTGGGGAAAAGCGCCCATGCAAGCTGCGCTGAGCCGGGCTTGGCTGCGCTCCGGGCCCGCCTCC